GAGGGACTGGACGTCCATGGTAAAGATGAGGTGTTGGGGACCGGGGAATTGGAAGTTCTGGAGGAGGTGGAGGGCGTGGGTGGTGTCACGGACATAGGTAGGGAGTTCCTGGACCAAGGGGGAGAAAATGGAGTCGAGATAGTTGGAGATCAGTTCGGTGGGGCAGGAGCAGGCGGAGACAATGGGTCGACCAGGGCATTCAGGTTTGTGGATTTTGGGAAGGAGATAGAAGCGGGCAGTGCGAGGTTGGGGAACGATGAGGTTGGAGGCCGTGGGTGGGAGGTCACCTGAGGTGATGAGGTTGTGGATGGTTTGCGAGATGATGGTTTGGTGCTCAGGGGTGGGGTCATGATCAAGGGGGCGGTAGGAGGAGGTGTCGGAGAGTTGGCGTCCGGCCTCGGCGATGTAGAGGTCAGTGCGCCATACTACAACTGCACCTCCCTTGTCCGCGGGTTTTATGGTGAGGTTGGGATTGGAGCGGAGGGAGCGGAGGGCTGCACGTTCTGCGGGGGAGAGGTTGGAGTGGGTGAGAGGGGTGGAGACGTTGAGGCGATTGATGTCTCGACGGCAGTTGGAGATGAAGAGGTCGAGGGAGGGTAGGAGGCCTTGATAACAATCTGTTTTGTGATCTCAACTGAGTCATAAATATGGACCAGGGTGAAAGATTAGTCCCCTGCTCTTCAAAATAATTGTGGTTTTTTTTTTATATCCATCAGGGTTTGGAGAGGGAACCTTATTTTAACATCCCATCAGAGATTTGGCATTTCTGACTGCAGCATTCTTTCTACTGCACTGGAATATCAGTTCAGATTTTTGAGTTTAAGTCTTGAAGTGGGATTTGAGCTTACAACCTTCTGACTCTGATGCAAACTGAGTCATCCTGTCCCCCTTGGTTTTGATTTCACCTCATTGGACATACTGTTCACTGGAGACAATGGCCTTCCTGGTGGGGGTATGAGTTGAAAATACTAGTAGAATGTCTGACTTGTAGCTGCTTATAAGAAATATTAAAGCATTCACGATGTACAGTTTTTTTTAAAAGAAATAAGCTGTCCCTACTTGGATTGTGCTTTTGCCATTATAATTTTAAACCTTTTTTCCTATTTGGTTGTTCTAGAAATTGCTTTCAGCAATTAGAGAGAAGAATTCATCCCATCGTGATTTGCATTTATTTTCATACAGCAACTTGAAAGGGAAGATGCTGCTCTTTGCAGAAAGCTTAATCGGCAACTCTGAACCATTTCTTCTTCTCGTATGTATTCTTATTCACTTCATGTCTCATACTATATTCCGAGTGTACCTGTTCTACAACTGTGTCGCTTCACAACATTTATATTCTTGTCTATTATGGGTAATTTTTAGTCAATCTGTTCAGACGTATTATGGCATACCTCTGGAGCAGATGGAACTTGAATATGGGCCTTCTGGCTCAAACGTAGAACCATCACCACTGTGCCACAAGATGCTTTTGCTTATTCATGCCCTTTTCACGTGCATTCAATTATCAGTCAGAGGACTTCTCATTAGTGACGCTTTCTCATTAGCATCTGTTAATGTATCACTTCCTCATGGGGTCTTCTGATCCTTTATTTTAAAATAAAGGGAAAAATAAAATAATTGATTAATGTAAAATAAATACATTATTTCTTATACTTGAGTTTTCTTAAATTTACAGCTCTTCAAATATGTTTAAAAACTATGCAAAGTATCAAAATAATGCAAAAGACAGAAGTTGTGTTTACAGAAATGTGTTTTTAAAAAAATGAAGACTTTTGTGAATTGCTCATTTCAAGTTTCTTGCCATGAGTTGTGTTGACTTGTCTTTAATTTTATAGCAAAAAATTCTCACTTTCTGTTCCAAGCTTGTAGTAAATATATATTTAGGAATTTGTGCTTTTTCATCAAAGTTGCTCAGTACTAGTTTTTAAATTATTGTCATCTGGGCTATTTCAAAGCCTTTTTTAATTCTGTGATTTCTATTATGTAACCAATTTTTTTCTGCCTTGCCAAGTATTCAGTTTGCTTTCCTTGTGCAAGAAGCAATACAGATACAGTGGTAAAGAAAATCTGTCTCCGACTTAATTTGATATAAAACGACAGTTTTTTCCTATCAGGACTAAAATGTCTGGAAATTTAGACTTGAGTTGCAAAATACATTTAACAGATTAATAATGTACATATTGAGTAGATTTTTTTGAGGGAGATTTCACAAAAAGGAAATAAATGAATATTGGAAACTTGTGCTTTTCTTTCAGAGTGCAAAAACCTCTATATCAAGATCATCAGAAGTCCAAGATGAGGAATTAAGAATGGACTGTAGTCAAGAGGTGCATCAGGAGAGGCAGGCTTCAGAATGGAATAAATCCTCATCAAATCCAATAGATAAATGTTATGTTTGTTCTAATAGGTGATTGGAACATTTTGTTCAATTTGAGCTATATTATCAAAATTGCTGAAGTATCAATGGTTTCAAAAAATCTATAGCCACGTATTCATTTGGTGAAATAAACAGGAGTCCATTTTAAGCTTCACACTTCAGTAGATATTCACTCTTTCTGTCCATTGAGAAAATTAACTTCCCGTTTAATGCTCTCTGCATTTTACTTAGCTATTCTGTATTAAAATACGTTGAAATTAGATTTCAAGATATATACATTTGACCTCCTAACTTACAGTACATAAAACAGAACTAATACTTGATGTAGTAGTTCTTTTAATTCATCTGTATTGCAGTTTCAAATCAGAAGTGCTTGTCCTTTAACATCCATTAATGTCAATATCAAATTGATAGTTTTGATTTGACTCGTTGTTTACTTCCCTGGATGAGAGTTACGTTGGCAAAGCTGCAGTTTTAATTGTTCATAGATTTGGTGGCTCAGTGGTTAGCACTTCTGCCTCAGCTCCAGGGACCTGGGTTCAATTCCAACCTTGGGCGACTGTCTGTATGGAGTTTGCACATTCTCCCCATGTCTGCATGGGATTTCCTCCAGGTGCTCTGGTTTTCTTCCATAATCCAAAGATGTGTAGGTTCGGTTGATTGGCCATGCTGAATTGCCCATGGTGAAAAGGGATGTGCAGACTAAGTGGGTTAACCAAAGAGAATTGCAGGATTACAGGGGTGGGTCTGAGTGGGATGCTGTATGGAGGCTTGGTGATGGGCCGAATGGCCTGCTTCCACTCGATAGGGATAGTATAATTTTATGCTCATTCCAGTCCCGTAAAGTTTATCATGACCTTCTTAACTGTTGCAATGCTTGTGGTCTTTGCATTCCAAAAATGTTAAAAAGAAAATTCCACCTTCCAGTGATGATGGAAATAAGTTCTAAATGTGCAAGCCAAGTTAATTTTCAACTTAAAAGGGAACTTGGAGTGGTGTGAATTTAAAAAAAAGACTTAGAAGTATTTAAAGAGAAAATTTATTTTCACATGTTTCCATCTCTCTCTCAAACATTCATCAAATTTTCATGTGAAATAATGACAATCTCTGCTTCAATAATGGTCGTTTGAAGCAATCTTTGCATTTAAATACCCTCCCAAGAATTTCTTTCACCTTTTTTGTTTTTAATTTTTATATTTTTGAAGCTCATTATCATGTTAACTAACCAATGAAAATGTTCCACTTAACGCAACTTTTGCAATGCTAGCTATCTGTGAGGTTACCTGTTAAATTCTTCAGATATAACAGCATGTATTCTCAGTATGACCTTTATTAGAGGGCATATTGATTACATTTTTGTCCAGAGGTTTACTATTTCAAGGTTTGTAGGGAAAGTGAAATGGTTCAGGCATGATCTCACCTGTGGTGGTTTTTGGTTACTTTCGAACATTGCCAGAAGTGCACAAATGATGACATCCACTTTGCATCTGTCTGCCATCAACCTATTAATTTCTTTGCAGAATGTGTTATGGGGCTTGTGAGGTGACACTTCTTA